GCATCTAAATTCCAAAATCAATCTCCATAATAGTCTATGTGCCAAAGGGGCCCTTTAGAGTAGTGAGAGAAGATCTTCACCCTGAAACCCACAGCGTCCCTTTTCAGCAGGAAGTAGCTAAGAGAATACGCCATTCCCTTTTCCTTATGAATCAGGGTGAAGTCTCTCTCAGGGAGGAGTGAAAGGGAATGGCAAAGGACACAATGACAAAGGAGATTAGTCAGAACTGACTTTGATAAGCGCTGTGGCAATTGGACAATTAAAACAGACATTCGGATGGCGGGGGAAGAAGAACAAACTGGGGAGGAGGGTAGAGAGAATGGTGCAGTAATGAAGGAATGAAAACCCAAAATCCCTGTAAATGTTCATTAAAACTAATAAAATTTAATAATAAAACAAAACAAAACAACCAATTCAATATCAATCAAGGACCTAAATGTGAAGACTACAACCATGATAATCTTAGAAGAAAGCATAGAAACATGGCTATAGGACCTAGTTTTCGGGTTTGTTTGTTTTTTTAATTAAATTTATTAGTTTGCTTACAATGTTCGTATACATTGTGTTTCACACTAGTCTTCATCTACATTGTGTTTCATATAATCATTTTCATGCATTATGTTTTTTAAAATCAATCACCACTGGATCTTCCCCATCATTACCATGCTTTTTCACACAAATCCTTCTAATTTCTTTCTCCCTCTTCCCTCTGCTTACCAAACTGTGAAATCCTGTGGTGTCGTCTCCATCCATCCTTATCCTTCTGCTCCCTCCTTTTCCCTTTTGAGCACCCATACATAATTTACTAGTTATCCTTCTATTGTTACAATAATGAATGGTTTTATGCAATATTTGTCCTCCTGAGATTCATGATCACCAACAACAAAAGCATGAGCAATAAGAGAAAAAAAAAACAAAACAAAACACCACAGCAACACACTGATAAAAGAGGTATCATAAAAGGAAATACCTTAAGTACAGATTGAAAAACAAATTTTCATATATTCTGTAAGATTAAATGATTTAAAATATGCATGTCTACAACTTAACAAAAATATAAATAAATCAATGACAATTTACTAATAAAAAGGAGGGGTGAAGGGTTAGAACAGATATTTCATCAAAGTGGATATTAAAAATAGCCAACAAGCATATTAAAAGATGTTCAACATCAAGGCCCACACCAAACCTACCCCTATCAATTTTATTTCAACTCAAAGTGATCCTGTAAAACTGAGAACTCCATATGGTTTCCAAGATAAAATCTTTACAAGAGCAAAATGCCTCATCTGTCTCAGGGCAGAAAAAGTAGGGTAAACCCTTGAAGTTATCACCTTGGTAACCTTGAGGTTATTAACCAAGTTGGGTATAAACTGTTTGGTCATTTTTTTTTAAATTGTTAACAACCAAGTGTAAGCTGATTGGCCTTTTGGATTTAGTTAACAATCAGCTACGGACTGGAAACCTCTTGTTTAAATCAATCAGGATGGGGTGGGTGTGCCTTTGTATTTTAAAGGTGGTTGGTATCAACTGTGTTTGTGCAGAACATTTTTCTAAGTAGTACAACACTTTTCTGTCAGTTAGTTGTACTGAGATAACTTGGAGTTTCAGTGATACTGAAAGCTGTGCTACAGGTGTGCCAATGCCGTAAGGGTTACCCATGGTGGACAGGTTTTGGTGGTGCTCCCCAATTAAGACAGACTTTCCTAAGATTGGTCATCTACTTCTTAAACAACAGGCCTTTGAAAACCCTATGAACAGTAACAGAATGAGAATAGTTATAATATTGTAGTGGTAGAGACCAAATAGATGAAAGAAGGGAAGATCATAGCTTGAATGTTGGAAAACTGCAAAGTGTTAAAATGAAGCAGAACACAAGAACATCAAAATACTAAGTATTAGTGAGATGAGAGGGACCAGCTTTGGCCACTTTGAATCAGATAATCAAATGCTATACTATGCTGACAATGAAAAACAGAAGAAGAATGATGTTACATTCATAGCCAAAAAAGTAAATTTCAAGTTCTGTCCTGAAGTACAATGTTGTGAGTGATAGCATAATACTCATACACATACAAGGAAGATCCATTAACATGACTATTATTCAAATATATTCTCTTACATCTGGAGCCAAAGAGGAAGAAATTGAGAATTTTACTAAGTCTTGTAGTCCAAAATTGACCAAATATGCAATCAAGATGTGTTAATGATAAACTGGTGACTAAAATGCAAAAGTAGGAGACAGGGAATATGGAATAGAAGTTGGAAAATATGGTCTTGGTGATAGAAATGAAGTTGGAAATAAAACGATTGAATTTTATGGTTACAATTATTTATTCAATGCAAATACATTTTTTTTAAAAGACACAAATGGCGACTTTACATATGGATCTCACCTGATGGGCTGTGTAGGAATCAGATTGACTCTATTTGTGGAAAAAAATCATTGGAGAAAAACAGTAACGGCAGTCAAAACTAGGTCGGGACAGACTGTGGGTCAGACCATGAGTTGCTCATATGCAAGTTCAAATTGAAGCTGAAGAAAATTAAAGTAAGTCCACAGAAACTATGCTACCAGGTCTTAAAATCATTCCTAGGCCAAACCCACCAACTTTGAGTTGATTCCCATTCCTGGCTGTCCTCCACAGTGCTTCCAAGCTGTGAATCTTTATAGAAGGAGAGTGCCCTTCTGTTGGGGGGCTAGTGAGTTTGAACCACAGACTTATAGTATAATCTAGTTAGCAGTGTAACACTTAAGACACTATTCTACAAGAGCGCCTTCAATAGTCATTGTTGTATACCACTGAGTCTGAACTAATTCATTGATGGCTTTCCAGTCTGTTTTTCAGAGGCTATGATTGGATAGAGGGGATTGCCTATTTTACTCATGCAGAGCAGCGGGTGAATCCGAACCATGTGCCTTTGGAGTGCATCTCCTTACACTTGCCCATCAGAGCTCCCTTTAGTACTCATTTTTGTTGTTCTGTCAAGTTGGAAAAAACCTCATAGCTGACCCTCCAGTAGGTCTTCAGTAGTGTTGTTCTTAGATGCCGTCTACTCAACTATGACAACAACTCGTAACAGCCCTACAAACAAGAGCTCTGATCCTTGTCCCGTCCTGAGCCAACCTCACAGCCTCTGACACACCTGCCCTCATTGCCACAGTCGCTGTGCTAATCTATTTCATCCTACTTCTTCCTCTCCTGCACCCTCCACCCTTCCAAGTATAATATCCTTCTCCTGGCAACATGCCAAAAGTATGTAAGACAGAGGTTCAAAAATCCTTGCCTCCAAAGAGCAACCTGATTTCACCCTCTCCAGGACAAGCTAGGGAGATGCAAATCAAACCCACAATGTGATACCTTCCAAGTTACTCCTATAAGAATGGCAATTAAAAGTAAAGATATGGGGAAACCACAGATATTGTTGAAGCTGTTGGTACGCTACAACGCTCATTTATTGCTGGTGGGTATGTAAAATGGTAAAGTCACTGTGAAAAAAAGAGTATAGCAGGTCCTTAAAAAACATAACCTAGCAATCTCAATTCTGGCACATGCCCAGAAGATGTAAAAGTAGGAATGCAGAGAGCTATACACCAATGTTCACTGCGGCGCATTTTACAATAATCAAAAAGTGGAAACAATCAAAATCTCTGTCAACAGATGAATGGATAAAGAAATGTAGGCTAATAAACAATATTACAAAGGGATAAATAGAGTGAAACCCTGGTGAATACAAAGGCACGGATGCACCTTGATGGCATTATATTGAGGTAAAGAATTTCTTCACAAAAGGACAAACACTATATATGCTCTCACTTAAATGAATGGGCTACCAGGTATAGAAAGGAGGGAGTAAGAAGAAGTTTTCCTTTTGGGGAATTTGAATTTTATATTAATGGTGGTGAAATTATTGGAGAAGAATAGCAATAATGGTGCCACAGTTTGAAATCTGTAATCGATGTCATAGAATTATACCTGTAGACACGGTTGATGTGGGAAAATAATACTTTGTATACAGCTGAGGCTGAGGAGAACCTCATGCGCTTGCTGCGAAGGGTCGGGGACTACGGCCTTCAGTGTGGACTGAGGCTCAATGTCGGGAGGACAAGGATTCTCACCACTGGACCAATTGGCAGCGTCAGGATGGATGGCGAAGAGATTGAGAATGTTCACAGCTTCAGTTTGCTCAGCTCCACAGTCAACACTCTTGGCACCAGCAGTCAGGAAATCAAAAAGTGTATCGCAATGGCAAAGTCTGCTGTTAGGGACCTCTCTAAAGTACTCAGGAGCAACAGTGTCTCTCTGGAGACTAAGGTGCGCCTGATACAGGCCATGGTATTTGCAATCGCTTGTTATGCATCAGAGAGTTGGACAATGACTAGGAAGGACAGAAGGAGAGTTGATGCTTTTGAGCTATGGTGCTGGAGAAGAGTACTGAACGTACTATGAACTGCCAGGAAAACAAACAGATTCATCTTGGGGAGGATTAAACCAAGCTACTTGAAAGCAAGGATTCTGGGGCTTCGTCTGACATATTTTGGACATGTTTCCAGGAGGGGCGGGTCCTTGGAGAGGGACATCATGCTTGGGAGGATGGAGAGACAGCATAGGAGGGGAGGACCCTCTATGAGATGGATTGATTCGGTGACTGGGGTAATCGAGGTGGGTGTGTCAGAGGCAGCGCGGTTGGTGCAGGATAGAGCAGTGTTTAGGGCTGTTGTGCATAGGGTCGCTATGAGTCGCACACGACTCAACGGCACATAAAAACAACAACAACATAGTTTATTGCAATTCAATCTAATAAAATGCTTTTAAAACATTTTAAAAAGAAAATCCTAATGGAGCGAAAGTCTACTCTGACATAGATGGGATTAGTACAAATCAGCATTTCTTGAAGTCATCATAGCTCAAGCAGGATCGCCAGGTCTCTGTGGTGGTAAGGAGTCACATGTGCATCTCACAAACCCTGCGCAAACAGCTGGGGAGTGGACGACTCACCGCACTCATGAGGGAATCCAGGACACTGACAGCAAATGCGGTCCCACATGCAAAGGGCTGTGTAAGGTATAGTTCTGTGTCAGGATCATCATCGTCGTCTTGGTCCAAAAACTGAACATTAGTATCATTCACTAGAAAAAGTGTAAAACAAGAATTAATTAGCTCCATAGATCAGACTCAGGAATCTAACCCAAAGCAAGAGACCAGGCTACTGGTCACCGGCGTCACTGGAAAAGAAAGAAAAAGAAAAACATGAGAGAAGCTCTAGATGGGTCAGTGGGACTCAACGGACGGCTCCTATGGGATTCTTTAATTCAGCATCTGAAGTCAAATAGGCTCAGTCCATGGCAGACTGCAGACCACCAGCAGATGACACTGTGGTCAATTCTCTGGTACAGTTTTGGAATCGTGACCAAAAAACACCCCGGAGCGTTTTTTTGGTAGCCAAGTCCTTTGAGAGATGAAGTATGTCAGTGATGAGAAGCCATGCGGGGACAGAAAGTTGAGCCACAAAGAACAGCAACTCATTCAAAGTCAAGAGCAATGAACTGGGACCACACAAAGGCAAAAGCAAGGAATTCACCTTCAAGCATGACCTATAGTTTATCTGACTGAAGACTGACCTCTGTAGAGTCTGGGGTATAATGGGTTCTGTTAATATTAAAGAAACCCCAGGCAGGGTAGAATAGAAACTTGGCTGTATTTACTGCTTGATTCTGACTTTCTTATTCTTGAGTTGCACAGGGGGGCGCATTCTCCCTTTCCCCTTCTAAACAATTCCGTGTTTTACAGAATTCTGCTCAAGCAATTGCAGCATCTAAAGCTGTATTTCATTTCCACGGGAGGACCCCTCAAGGATTCGTGTGGCACATGATTGGTTGTGTCACTGCGATGTCTTTAACTTATTAAAAATTAAATGACAAATTAATATCCACCTCCATCTTGGCTTCTGCAGAGCAAGTAATAGTGAGGGAGTTCATGGGGGGAGCAAAATGAGCATTTGTGGTATCTGGTAAAATTATGTGCTTTGAGGAAAAGAGCAGAGGCTATGTCCTTTCTGAAGCCTTTCTAATTGTATCAGCAGGTAATCTTTATGAGGACCACTGCTTAAAGTTTTTGTTGGTGGTTTTTTGGTTGTTTATTTTTCCTAAAAGTATTTTGTTAGGTAACTTTCAAAAAACTTCCATTGTTTATTGTGCATGGCATAATAAATGAGAAGGTACAGGGCTAAGCATGACCATTGTTTCTGAAGAGAAGGACCTGATGGAGATCATATTTGCTCTGTGTTTCCAAAGTCAATCACATCTGGGTTTCTCTTGTCTGCCACATGGGAAATATGAACACTGTAGGCTAAGCATTTGGGCTGTGGATCAAATGATCAGGGGTTTGAAGATATGAGCCACTGAGAAAGACAAAGAGGCAGTCTGCTCCTATAAAGATTACAACCTCTGTGTAGGGAATTCTTCTCTGTCATACGATGTTGACCTAAGAACTGGAATCAATTCAGTGGGAAGGCACTCAGTTTGCTTTTTGGATGGAGAACGGTGCAACAAACGGTGCAAACATTTAAAGTATTTGCTCTGGAAAGGTCTGGCGATCTATTGAGAAAGCAGCCGCTGGGAACTGGGGGACACAGTTCTACTCTGAGGCCCGTGACATCGTCATAGGTCACGGTGGACTTGATGGCACCTTATAAATGCCGAGGGAGAGCACAAAGTTTACAATCGACAACTGGGTTCTGAAAATAAGCAATTTCCTTAATTCTAAGTTTCTTTATGGGGAAAAGGAGAATAATCATTATGCATGGTTGTCTAATGACATAAAGATAGGAAATATTTCTGACAATGTAGAATAGTCTTTTATGTATGCTTCTAACTGTTATTAGTACTAGCAGTAACCAATATTCTGACCTCTGTTTTGTTAGGATAATTTTCTCTAATTTCACTTTCTAATAAAATGAAAATTTTCTAAAAAAAAAAAAGAAAAAAGTCTACTAGCAAGAAATTGTGCAGCAATCCCAAAGGCATGCAGTTCGAGGCCACCAGCCGCTCCACAGGAGAAAGATGGAGAATCTCCTCCTGTGCAACTAACTCTGTCTGTGAAAACCTGATGGGGGGTCAGCTATGGGTCAGTTCTGACTCTGGCAAACAACAAATAAAACAACATTAAACTTCTCAAGTGAATAATTTAATGAATCTACATCTTAGTTTCTCTATCTGTAAAATGGGAGAATTAACAGTAGCTTTCCCATGAGGTTATCAAGAGGTTTATATGGATATTACCTGGACATGATGCTGGGAAGAATGGAGGGTCAATAAAGGAGAGAGAGACCCTCAACAGGTGGACTGACATGGTGACTGCCGCAATGGGCTTTTGTGCGTCAGGAAGTGTGAGGATGGAACAGGGTTCAGATCTTTTGTTCATAGCGTCGCTATGAGCTGTACTCAGCGGCACCTAACAACAACAACAACTACCACCTGGAGATTTCAGCTCAGCATCTGAAGCATGTCTGTGACAAATGTCAGCTGCTATCAACACCATCCTCTGACATGAAATGCCCCATCCATCCACTACATGTGAACGTTTCAGCTTCTCCTTGCCCCTCTCAAGAAGCACTTGGAAGTCTTACTCAAGGATCTTATCAGAATAAACGGATAAGATTGTTCTCACCTCCTTCCATTGACCCTAAAGGCATATCCAGTTTGCTATTTCTACTCTGTGGGTCAGAAAATGAAAACTGGATAAGATGCAGAAAAGGGTTAGTTGGTTTGGGGATTGTTGTTTGTTTTTTTAATGATTTGCAGTAGTAGATAAAGTTATATCTTCAATACTACCCCCCACCCCCGCACTGCTGCCTGTTAATAAAGACTTACTGTCCACTTGGAGGGAACGTAGGGCAAAGCAGGGGAGGGTAGACAAGAGTTTTCTAGCAAGTTAAAGGTTTGGGCCATTGCAAAAAAACCTCAAAGAAAAGAACTAGTCATGGTTTGGTGAAAATTCTCTGTACTGCTCTACAGTATTCAGATTCAAGTGTACAGTAGCAAGGGTTTCTCAAAAATCCATTTCATAGAACACTAATCAAGTGAGATGCTGGGCCACCAGAGCTCTCCTTAGATGCTTATTGTTGTTGTGTACCCTGGAGTTGGAACCAACTCACAGCTGATCCTCCAGCATGTTTTCTGAGGCAGTGAATTGCACAAGAGAAGACTGTCCATCTTTCTCCTGCAGGTAAGTTGGTGGATTCGAACAGTGTGCCCTTTGGATTGCAACATGTTTGGTTTTTTTACCATTGTGCCAACAGAGATGCTAAGAGAATAAGCAAGGGATATGTGGATGCAAGATGCAAATAACAGAGGAAACAATTTGTAGGACGAAGACGGGGTACACGAGTACCCCATAGATTGTTCAAAACTGTAAATCTACAACTTCTCACTCTTATTGTTATCATTTAAGTGCCACTGAGTCCACTGACTCAGAGTGACACTAAATATAACCGAACAAAATGCTCCCAGCTCCTGCTCCATCCTTATGATTGTTGCTCTCAGACCTTTGTGGAAGCGACTGTGTTGGCTCATCTTGTTGGGATCTCCTTTCTCCTTGCCCCTCCACTTTACTAAGCACGATGCCTTCCTCCAGAGATTGGTTCATTCTGAAAACATGCACGATGTGCGTGAGATGAATTCCTGCCCATCTTCATGCCTAAGGAGCATTCCAGCTGTACTTCTTCAAAGACAGATTATTCGTTCATTTTTCTGGCAGTTCACTGTGTATTTAACATCCTTCAACAATACCACAATGTGAATGTATCAATTCTTCTCTAGTCACCGTCCAGCTTTCATATGCATATGAGATGGCTGGAAATACCACAGCCACAGCGTGGGTCAGAAGCAACTTAATCCTCCAACTGACATCTTCATTTTTAATAAAGAAGCCTTTTGCAGCAAATTTGCCCAATGAAGTAGGTCATTTGATTTCCTGACTACTATTCCCATGGGTGTTGATTATGGCTCCAAGGAAAATGAAATCCTCGACAACTTTATCACCGTGATGCTCACTGGGTCAGTGAAGAGGAGTTTTGTATACCTCCTGCTGAGATGTAACCCATACTGAAGCCTGTAGTCTTTGATCTTCATCAGTAACACCTCAAGTCTTCATTTTAAGTAAACAAGGTGGTGCCACACGGATAGTGCAGTTTCTTAAGGAATCTTGACACCATGTTTTCCTCTGCATAGGTCAACTCCTTGCATTATTTGCTAAGCATGCAAACTGAGTAAGGACAGTGAAAAAATCTAGCCCTGACACATACCTTTTCTGATTTAAACAATGCACTATCATCTAACTCTGTATGAATGGCTAACTCTTGGTCTATAGACAGTTTCTATATGAGGATAATTAAATGTTCAGAAATTCCCATTCTGTGCAATGTCCTACATAATAATTGTGATCCACATAGTGAAATGCCTTTTCATAGTCACTAAAACACAGAGATCGCAATTGGTTATCAAAGGTGGTAGCCCAAAGCAAAGCATGACTGAGGTCAAAGTGAAGGAAGACATCAGTACAGGAGGTAGGCTCTTAGACCACACAGGATAATCTGCTGAGAGAAAACGGCTCCAGGAGAGTCAGTTATGCAGGGTCAAGGTTAATTAAATACTTGAACCATTGCCTTAGATTTGAGGCACATCAGCCTCTTTCTTCCACTAATAGCATATTAAGATATTTTAATCGGTTGGAAGCATATACATGTAAAATATACAGAAAAAAAAAACATTCCTAGCAGTGATGTCATTGAAGCGACTGCCCTGGAGAAGGGTGGATGAATTTTCAATTGGAGGTCTGGACCACCAGGCCTTCCCGGGTCTCTTACGGCCCAAGGTTCTGAGAAGCACCTAGCAGAAGCTAAGGCTTTTAGCCAACTGCTCAAAACATGGAAAAGACACCTCTCCTCCTGCTAGAAACAGAAATCATGTGATGCTCCCTGACCTGAGTGAATTGTGCCCTGATAAATACTACAATGATGCAGTGCTGAATGGTGAACAATTTATTCCTCTTTTCCTTAGTTTCTAGACACCTCACAGCAAGATTACTGTGTTAAAAGCTCGCTCTCTTATTTTGAAATATATTTTGGGGCCAACAAAATGGAGTGTTGGTTTCATCTGTGAGTCATTTGAAGGCAGGAGCCCCCCCACCCCATCCACGCCTGTACGGAGCAGCACTTTTGCTGTCTCTATTTAGAAGATCAATCCCCAGTCCTGAGACCAGCTGCTGATGGGCGCCTTTCATAGAGTTATTAACCAAGTCACCACGGGGAATTGGGAAGGGACCTGACAAATGCAGTCATCACCACAGGCCTTCATCTTCCTGCTGAGTCCACTAGGAATCTCCCAGAGGGGGCCTGGGGTCGGATGCTGGGTGTCCACAAGCAGGGTTGGGCCTTAGTGGCTGCCAGCTAACCTCATCCTCTGACCGTGACCTGCAACCTGGCTTTAGTAAGCAAACCCCCACCCCTACCCCCAGGAGCTGGCTCCTTTTATGGTTTCAGAACCAGAGCTTCTGAGAGAGGGCCTGTAGTAGGGGGAAAAGGCAAATAAAGTCAGAATAAAGGAAAATAAACAGCTGCAGGGAAGGCACTGTCTTAGGTTTTCTTATCTTGAAATTTTTATATTTCTCCTCTGACTTCCTTTGAGGGCTGTGAAGAGGTGTCAGTGAAACTGACAATGTGCTGGAAGAGAAATAGAAGGGGAGAAGGCACAAGAGCGGGGGGACATGAAGAGGGGGAAAATGGCCCAAGCCAAAGAAAATGAATCAGAGCAAAGACGCTTTGAAAACAACTGCCAGGTCAGATGGGTATGATCAAAGGTTTACTGATGCTGTGTTGAGGGAAAAAATCATTAAGAAAGGCCAGAACAAGACAGTCGATTCCAACCAGAGCCACAAATAAAATGCATTCAAAGCAGTGCCATGAGGCAAGCCTTTCTGTTGCAGCCGGTGAAATAAAAAACAAGCTGATGATAGTTGGGAACACCAACGACAGAACAAAAGGAGGTAGGGGCGTGAAGGAAAACGATGCTTCTTACCCAGTTCGGTTATCATTAGAATGTGCGTCCCACTGTTTTTTTCCTGATTGACTGACACCAAAGGCAACTTGCCCGGTTTAGCTAATTGGATACAGCGTTTAAGGATAAGGGAAAGGGAGTGGAGGAAAGTACAGAAAAAGAAAAAGAGTAAGGGAATAACAGGAAACATTCTGAAGTAAAGGGACCCGAGACCATTTGTCTTGCAGGGGAAAGGGCATTCTGCAGATTAACAAATGGTAGTGGGGAATGTCATGGACACGTTCAAAGTTGGATTCCATTGACCAAAGACGATGACCTTCAGGGGCCCATATTTTTTTTTTTCTACCAGAATGGCATTTGTTGAAAACGAACAATGCCTATAAAGTAGCTCATCTAGCAAAGGTTAACTTCTGAGTTAGTACACAGAAACCCGATACTTGTGCCCAGTTCTCAAAAACAGGGTCAGCTTTCATCTGAGGTTGTGTAAATTGCCAGAGGATGCAGGTCATAGGAGGTGCCCATGTAGAATGCTCAAAAGCGGTGCTTCCGGTGAAAATACCAGACAGAATCCACCAACTATGCCTTATTTCCTCTCTGCCCCCTTCCCTAATTCATGTCCCAGTCTTAAACGCCTCATGTTACACTCTCTTAGAAACAATGATCAGCATTAAGAAAACTGTCTATTCTTTTCACAGGAAAGATAGATCAGTTTGACCTCTGGTAATCTATCATGTTTCTCCTCCTTCTAACCAAACAAACTCTAGGCTGAAAGAGCTAGAAAATAGACTGGCCTCCACATATACTGCATGATCCAGAAGAGATGGGGTGAAAGGAATTCCCCCAAGGCCCACATTAATCCTTACCCAGTTCAGTGATGATGGGGATATTGACTCCAGTCGTGATAGATGGCTGGCGTAACATCCCGTGTACTGGGCTGTTATCTGGAGAGGATCTATCCATTCCTGGGGGTGTGAACCCTAGTGAAAAGGAGGAGAGAAAAAGGAAAGATGTGGGAAATTTTGAAATAATTAGAGTACAATATGCATTCATAACCTAAGACATGGTTCATATGTTATTACAGGTCAGAAATCCTCACTCCCAGGACAAACACTGATGAGCTGCTGCTTAGAAAGGCAAAGGAGAATATATATATAAAAACTCAAAAACATCTTCAGTAGTTTAAAAAAAAAATCTAATCTCTATACCAGGTTTTGGTCTCCCCTTCTAGGCCCAAAGGATGACGGGACCTCCGTGTCTCCTTGAAGTTACAGGCCCACGTGACATTCGGAACACTCTGGCTCATGACATATGGACAGAAGCAACAGGTATCACTACTGGTACCAACATTTAATGTCGTGTGAATGACTTGTCACCCATTTCTTTCCAGGTGTAATAACAATGTAACTGAGGTTCCTATGGAGATGAAGGCTGGGCAGCAGCCCTGGACAGTTGACCAGACCCACTAAGCACTGCAAGCAAGAGAAAAAGAAATCTGTGTTGCTTTAAGCACTGAGATGTAGAGAATCTTTGGTCCCCCAGCATTACTAGGCTTCTTTACTGTAACCTTCTTTATATAAATTATTGCTTATCCTATTGTCATAGGATAAGCAGGGACTTAGGGATGGGTTTCTGACAGATTTATTAATGGCCAGTGGATGTGACTGAGCTCTAGTGGCTTAGTGCTAAAGTAACTGTGCTGCCAATTCAAAGTCACAGGGTTAAAATTCACCAGCTGTTCTGTGGGAGAAAGATGGCAATCTCTTCCCAGACAAGGAATTGCCTTTGAAAACCCACTGGAGGGTCACCTACGGGTTTGTTCCGACTCAACAGTATACAACAACAACAAAGAATGTGAAAGGAAAGTGCTGGGGGCTTGCTGGAAATAAAAAACCCACAGGGAGGTATTTCCTTCGAATTGCCTGGACCCTAATTTTTGTCCTTACTGACCTGAACCGTGGAGCAGCCCATTTTTCAATGACAGTGGACACCAGCCGAGGACAGAGCTAACTTTTGATTAATTTGAACTATAGAAGAAACAACTCTCAAGTTCTTGAGGTAACCAGCCCTCCTGTAATCCTTTACTGTGAGTGTGTGTATATGATTGTTCTGTGCCATCAAATTGGAACAGGCTCATAGCTGACTCTTCAGCATGTTTTCAGAGGCCATGAATCATACGAGAAGACTGTCCATCTTTCTCCTGTGCAGCAATTGGTGAATCTGAATTGATCACCTTTGACTTGGCAGTACAATTCCCTACTCATTAGGCCATCGTTATTACTGTTAGGTATTGTCGAGTCGGCTGACACTTATAGTGATCCTACAAACAAGATCTGAGTTCTGTCCTATCCTGGACCATCCTCACCATCCCCACTAAAATCGAGGCCATTGCTCCAGTCAATGGGTCAATTCATGTCATTGAGGGTCTTCCTCTTTTTTCTTGATGCTCTACATTTCCAGGCATGATGTCCCTCTCTCCTACCAACATGTTGAAAGTACATGACATGGAGCATCCTTCCTGCTAAGGAATATATGGCTGTACTTTCCACAAGACACATTTGTTTAGGGTGTTTTGAAATCTCCACATATATCCCATTAGCTTTGACCTCAGGTTGACTTTAATGTACGTATTGCATGCAAGAACTTTTCCATAAGATTTCCGTGGTTGTTTCTGGTCAAACATTCTTCTAAGTGGTATAGTACTGGTCCGTCTATTTGCTGTATAGAGGTAACTTGTGGTTGCTGTGATGCTAAACACTGTGACACTGGTGTGTCAAACGCAATTATGGATCCTCAGAGTGCAATGTGTTTGCTGGAGATCCCCGATAAAAACAAACTTGGAACCAGGAATGGCATCCACATACGAAATAACTTGCCTCTGGAAACTCTATGAATGTGGATAAATGACTGAAGCTATACAAGTGTTCAGTCTTTTGTTCACAGGGTCACAATGAATAGTCTATGACTTGATGGCACCTAACAACAACACCAATACTTTTTATGGAAGCAGATCACCTGAGTTTTTTTTTCTTCTACAAAACTTGGTAGTAGATTCAAAGTATCAACTACCCAATTTTTGGTTAGCTGCAACTTGAGTCATAAGTGAGAGGAAGAGTGGGTGTGTGTGGGGGGGTGTGTGCGTGCACACACATGTGCATGCATGCAAACTCACACATGCATATGTTTTGTTTGAGCTGTCGTCAAAATGAGAATGAGTCTTCTTTTCTTGCAGCTGAAGTCATCCATTCTGGTAGTATACCACCTGAACTTCCAGTGAATCCAACCCAGTTCTTGCAAGGTGGACATGGACACAGGAACACAAAGAAAAGGCATGCTATATTTATTTGGGCAGTTTGATTTTCTTTGGGCCTCAGGCCCAAGTCTCAAGTGTGTCATCAGGAAGAGTTTTCCCATCTGTAACTTCAAGTCTAATGAGAGTTTAGAATCATGGAAGTGGAGGAAGCTGACTGTCTGTCTATGTCTTCAAGGATGTGCCTACAGACACAGACTATTTGGCAAAGTACTCTACAGGTGAAAAAATTATTTACCACTTCTATTCATCTTGTAAAAAACATTGAAAAACATGGCCAATGGTGTTATCAGTACAATGTTCACAGTAAGGTCCATCCCACATCCTCCCCCTACCCTCTGCCCCTCCAAGCAGAGGCAGTAAAATCTCTGTATTTCCTCTGTTTTCTTCTACCCATTGTGGATTTCTACATGGGCTTTTCAATGAATTGGGACTTAAGGGTACAAAATCACTTGCTAAGTCTGTGAGAACAAACTCCAAATAGTGTGACCAAATTCCTCACCTACTCTCAAAAGTACTGTGACATTTTGGATATGTGTGAAGTGTTATCTAGAAAGAATAAAATGATAGGAGTTCAATAGTTGCCTTTTCTTTTGGAGACGCATAGTGTATTAAATGTTAGAGAAATACAAAAGGGTTATTTTCTGCTCTCCTGTGCACAAATTTTATATCATTGAGTGCAATATTTTCACAAAGATAAAAGAAAGTTTTATGTAATAATTTTTCCCAGGCCACATTTTATTTTATTTCTATACTAATAACATACTATGAACAGATTAAGTACTTTTTAATTACTCTAGAGTGCATCTTTCCAAACTTTGGACTGTGTGAGATTTTTGTTGTTGTTGTTGAGGGGTTTTTTTGTCATTTGCCCCCCTCTTTGGCTTGGTTGGTTTTCTTTCTTTTTGGCCAACCACCTAACCAAGAATATACATTTAAATGCTAGCTGTTTTCTTCCCCTGGAATAGTGAAAGGGGAAACTAAACTGTTTTCATCAGAAGTTTCATTCAAAGGCATGAAAAACTCCAAGTGACAGCCGTGCAGATTCAGTGGATGTGACGTTTTGAATTTCTTCAACTTGACAAGTAAACACCTTAAAACGGTAATGCTATATGCATAATACATGGCCTGTATTTTGACATCCATCATCAAATGCTGACTTGAGAAAATACGGGTTTGTACGTCAAGGAATAGCGCCCATAAGGCAGGGAGAAATGCGGGTCACAGGGTATTAGGAAAACTGTATTTCATTACAGAACCTGCAACAAGCCTTTTATTTTATCTTATTTAAAGATTCCATTTTCAGCTGTGAAAAGACTCAATTCCTTTGCATGAAACCTTCATTTAGAAATGACATGCTTGCCTCTAAGTCCTCTTTCATTCTGCTTTCATATTCCATTTTCCCCTTCAGTCACCAAGCCTAGTTCCATTAGCATCTGCAACTGACAAAGTACAGTGGGTGTCCTGCGGCTTCTCTCCACAGAAAGTCCTTCTCTCCCCTAAGCACGACCTCAAGTGAGCGGGTCTGCTGGTGCCTAGAAAACTTCAGTGATGATAATGCCTCTTTTTATTTCACTACTTTTCTAGCCTCACATTTTTCACAACAAAGACTAAAAAAACAAAAAACGAAAAAACCCCAAACTGTTCCTACCTTTCCTTCCCATAGAGTTGTGTTAAAGATTAATAGACTTTATTACGATTGGGTTTTTTCCTTATGGATCCTAATACAGGAAAACTATAGTCTGAAATGACAGTGTCGACCTAGATTCTCTAAATGACCTTGGAGAGAATAGAAACTCAGATTCTTCCACCTGATAGGATGGAGCAATCTGGCCTTCGGTGCCATTCGATGGTATCTGTCCCATTCATCACAGCAGAAGACGATAAAGGGGCAAATCTAAGCTGTGCCCTCATCTAATTGTCTCGTCTCTCTTCCTCCTCTAGTGTCCCCAATCCTGTAGCAATGGCTCTGTGTTTAATTGCACTTGAACTTCCTTTATGCAGAGCAACATTTCCGTTTTGAAAGTGAAAGCCACTTACACGTGGAACATACTCCAGAGATGCAAATCTACTGCCAGTAAACAGTGAAATTGGGGAACACTCCTTCTATCAGTCAAACCAACACTGGCATGCCCACTTAAAACACAAGTTTAAATGACCAAGGGAAAGAAGGCCAAGTTTAGTTTATGATCCCCAGTGTGTTTAAGTCCATTGATGTAGTCTAGTCCTCGTCAGTCCATCTGGTTGAGGCTTTTCCTCCCTTTCCGTGATTGTCTGTCCTCCTCAGTATGATTTGTTTTTCCAAGGACTGGCCTGTCCTGACAACTACCCAAAGCACATAAGGGAAAGTCTCCCCATTTTCACTTCTAAGGGACTTGGACAAAAACAGGCAGATTGGTTTGGGGCAGTCTGAGAGTTATCCATTCAAAACTCTTTGCCTGTATATCTAAGAAAAGTTTCTTTTCTTGCTTTAACAATATTAGCGGCTCTCTAGAGTATTCTGTTTTCTGGACCAAATTTATCTACTTATTTAGTCCACAAATTTTCCTCTTTTGTTTTTCAGGATCCCAATCCCATTTTCACCCCTTCTGCATTCTTTGGTAGTGCTAGCATTGTTGGCATCTCTGTTAGATTCAGCTAAGCAGCATCAGTCATGGTCAAGAGACGATT